GTGGTCCACGGACAGCGCTCGAGGTGGTAGCCTCTGGCGATCGGGTGGGCATGGCTGCGGGTGGTGCATGTATGGGCAGCGGCTGGCAGGGGACCGGAGTCAGGACCGGATCCCTGCGTCGGAATCGCTGGCCCGTGTCCTCTTCGTCGTCGCTAGGCTCCGACTCCCACTCCATCGCCTTGCCCGTGGGGTGGTGTGGACGACTGGGGGGGTCCATGGTGCTGGGCTTAGCGTCCCGCATTACGATGTCCTGCGGTAGGGCGTCGTCTCGCGTCGATGTCTCAGGCTTCGAGGTCGTCGGGCCCGGGTTCCCTGGCATTTCGCAGTCGTTGCCTGAGTTGGCGAACGAGGGTACGGCCCTGTCGTCTACGCCTAGTACGCAGAAATGTTCCGGGGACTCTGGGAAAGTTACGTACGGGCTTTCTGAAGGCCGCCACGGGACTTCGACCTGCATGGTTTCGTACGTAGTGTGGATTAGGTACGCCCACGACCCTCGCTGGTACCAAAACCTGTCCTCTCCGGTGTAGAGGAAGTGCTGCGCTCCTTCGGGTGGGACGCTGTCATCTTCCTCGTCTTCCTGCCGGTCATCCGAGCTCTCGGAGTACGTAGGCCGGGGATCGTCCTCGTCATCAGTGACGTCCTCGACGTAAGCGGCCGGCGGCTCGTCCTCGTCGTCCGGATCGTCACTGACGAACTCCTGTTCGCTCCCTACGGTCTCCCGTTCCTCCGAATTCGATCGGTAGTCCGCCTCCCGCTCGCAAGGGTTGTACACCTCCGTGTCGGACGACCCGGATGGACTCGGGCGGCCGGACGCGGGGCGTATTCCTGGCGTTCGGGGAATGCGTCCGCGAAGTACTGGGTGTACGGACGGCGCTCGAATCCGGTGGTGGGGCCGTCGTGGACGCGACGCCCGTACTCGTCGGAGTAGTGCGGCGATGTGCCACGGGTTGGAGGTGGAGCGTGACGGCCATCATCTCGGCGATGTGGTGGTGCGCAGCTCGACGTAGCCCGGCGGGGTCTTGTCCGAGCGCTGGAGGTTTCCGGTGAGGGTGAGGGCTCTCGACCGGAGCCTCCCGGCTGGCTCATACCCGTCGGGTCTGACCGGGTGGACCTCCCAGCGTACGCCGATCCTGGGCGTAGCCGGGGGTCCCGAGAGGTCGTCGGCTGGCTGGTGACCCTGCTGCTGGGTCCGGGCTCTCCCTCGCTGTCACTCGAAGACACTTCGATCGTCTCCATGGCTCCGGATCTGTGGAAGATACAACTACACTAGCTTAATCTGAGGGGGCCTATGAAATGAGACTTAACGGGCAGCAGCGATAAATCCCTAATTTTTTTAACAAGGGTTCTTAGGGATATTGGGGCACAGAGTAGGTTAGGGGTACTTATAATCACACCTCGCTGATAGCAGGGGTCGGTTGACCTCGGTGAGACGGCCCGGGTTGGTCTCCGGCGCCATCTTCGGCACAATCGCTGTCTTCGTCTTCGGGATCACCTGTGGAAGAAGAATGAAACGCTTTTAAGTCTCCAATATTGGCAAGTCGTCCCTTCCGCTGGCCTGGCAGGCGGATTCGGACGACGTTGGGCGAAGGAAAAGCGACCACTTTGTAGGGCCCGTCGAATTTTGGGGCAAGCTTCGCTGCGAATCCCTCTACTGCTTTTGAGAGGTGATGTTGTCGCACCAAGACGAGCGATCCCATGGCCGGCTTCCAAGTACGGCGACGCATGTTGTAGTGCCTACCCTGCTCCCGGCTGGCTCTCTGCAGGTTGTTCTGCACTATTTGGAACACTTCTTTCAAGCGATTTGCCCTCTCTGAAGGAGTCTGCGGCGAGGAGGCTGTTCCAGGGGTCACACTGTCGTACCATGATCCGGGTAGTCGTGGCTCGCGGGCTTGGAGTAGAAATGCTGGACTAAACCCTGTCGACTCTGAGACGCTCGTGTTGATCGCCAGTGATAGCTCAGGCAACAGGCTGTCCCACGTGTTCTGCCCATGTTCCACGTACTGAGCGATCATGGTTTTCACTGTGCGATTGGCACGTTCGGTCGGGTTCTCTCTAGGGCGATAGGGTGCGGTGAACTGCAGCTCGACTCCCGTCTCCTGAAGATAGTCCTTGAACGCCTTACTGGTAAACTGTGTCCCGTTGTCGCACACCATCTTCTTCGGAGCTCCGAAGCGACTGATGATGCGCTCACGGAAGGCTCGTATCAGGGTGGCCGTCGTCGCCTTTCGCAGAAGTACCAGCTCGACCCATTTGGTAAAGAGGTCGAAGAACACAAGGAGCATGGTGTTCCCCTCTTTCGAACGGGGTAATGGTCCGACGAAGTCTGCACACAGTATCCCGAAGGGTTCGTTCACCTGTCTGGTCAGCATTTTCCCGGCTTGCTGTCGTTGTTCCGACTTGAACTTCTGGCAGGGGACACATTGTCGCACGTACCGTCGTACGTCTCGGAACATCCCTGGCCAGTAGTACTTCTGGGAGATCCTGATGATCGTCTTGCGTATCCCCAGATGTCCCGCTGTGGTTGCATCGTCGTCGTGGCACTCCTGCAGGATTCGTGCTCGATGTTCCGCTGCGACACAGAGCTTCCATGGGATGTAATCCTGGTCGTCTGGGCGGTGGCCGAGATGCCGGTACAGCTCTCCGTTCTCGATGATGTAATCCGGGAACTTCTGTGGGTTCTCCCGGACGTCCTTCGTCTTCCTTTGAAGCCACTTACATTGGTGTTCTCCCTGTGCGAGTATCTGCAGATGTTCCAGTGGTTGTCGCGATAGAGCGTCGGCAACGACATTGTACTTCCCGCGTCGGTAATGTACATCGTATTGGTATTGCTGGAGCTCCAACGCCCATCTGGCAATCCTTCCGGTGGGGTTTTCTATCTGGTCGAACCATTTAAGTGCCAGATGATCGGTGATGACATCGAACCTGTACTCTTCAAGATAGCATCTTAGCTTCCGGATTCCCCAGACAATTGCCAAACACTCCTTTTCTGTGGGTGAATAGTTTAGCTCGGCGGCGTCAAGCTTCCGGCTGACGTAGGCAATAACTCGCTCCTGGCCATCGATTTCCTGGGTTAGGACTCCCCCGAGCCCATAGTTACTGGCGTCCGTTTGTAAGGTCATCCTGACCGAAAAATCCGGACAGGCTAACACTGTCGCGTCTGTTAGCAAGGTCTTCAGTAGGTCGAATGCCTCCTGCTGCTCTGCTTCCCACTTCCACCTTTGATTCTTCCGCAGTAGGTTCGTCATGGGTTGCACTACCGAAGCGAAGTTTGGCACGAATCGCCTGTACCACGAGGCCATCCCGAGGCACCTCCTCAGCTCCCGTAAGCTCGTGGGAGGGCTCAAATTGCGCACTGCGGCTACCTTATCTGGATCGGTGTGGATACCTTGATCGCTGATCACGTGTCCCAGGTAGGCTATCTTCCTCTTGAAGAACGAGCACTTTTCTTGATTGATCCGCAAGTTGGCTCTCCTTAACCGTTGGAACACTTTGCGTAGGTTCTCCGTGTGTTCCTCGAGACTCGCTCCAATGACGATGATGTCGTCGAGATACGCAAATGCGTGTGGATCGAGGTCAGGCCCGATCACGCTATCCAGCGCCCTCTGAAAGGTGGCCGGAGCCGAATGCAATCCAAATGGCATGACCCGCCATTGAAATAGGCCTCTTCCAGGCACCGTAAACGCGGTGCAGGCTCGGCTGTCAACAGCCATGGGGATTTGCCAGTACCCATTGCGCAGATCCAAGGTTGAGATGTATTTAGCGTTTCTCAGACGCTCTAGAATGTGGTTAATTTGCGGTAGCCGATATGCATCCGGGATGGATTTGGCGTTAAGTTGTCGGTAGTCGACACACATGCGCCATTGGCCGGTTTTCTTCCGCACCAGGACTAAGGGGGCACTATGTGGGCTACGCGACGGCTCGATGCAGCCCTGCTCTAGCAATGCATCCACCTGTTCGTCGATTATCCGTTGCATGGCGGGGTTCTTCGGGAAGTAGCGTTGTTTAATCGGTCGATCATCCCTCATCGTGATTCGGTGTTTGAGCTAGTTGCTCGCAAAGGAACGCTTGTACGTGCGGATGGGTCTCGCCGTCGTTCTCTGGGGGTTCGTGGTTTGGGTGTCGGTGCTCTTGGGTCGGGGCTTCCTCGATGTGTTTTCCTGGCGTGTTCTCGTTGCGTTCCTCATCTTCCTGTTCCCGTTGATACCCCTCGGTGTCGGTATCTTCGCGTGTCTCTCGATTTTCTCTGTCGTAGTTCTCCTCGCGTGTTCCTGGCGTGCGTTCCCCGACGTGCTGCCCGTGTGTTTTCAGCTCGTGGTCCGCCTTTCGCCTTACTTTGTTCTCCTCGCTTTCGTCTGTGTTCCTCTCTGTCTCGTTGATCTCGACTGGTGCTGTGGTCTGGTTTTCTCCTCTTGTTCCTTCGCATCCTTGAGGCTCTGGGCCATAGGATCTGGGTGGCTCTACATCATGGTTGGCTATGCCTAGCCGAGGTTCGGTTGGTGGTGGGTCCAATGGTCTCAGGGTACCTGAGGGTCCTAGCGTCACTCGTGTTTGACTCTGGGATCTTGATGTCGATGGATGGTTGTGTTGATCGGTATGCCTTGGGCCATTGGGCCTGTTGTGGTCAAGTTCCTCGGGTCGGTGTAGAGAGAGCGTGAGGCTGACCGTCCCACAGCGTAGTGTGGTGCCAATAGATGCCAGGAAATCCATCCCGAGGATTAGGGGCTCCAGCATCGCGGGCATCACGAGTAGGGGAACCTGAATCGATTTCCGTGCGAGAGTCACATCAGCCAAAAGCAACCTTGACACTTCAACCCGGGATGTGTCGGCGAGGTTGATCTGTGTGCGGATTTCCCTGAACTGATGGGGTTGCCCCACTACGTCGGCGACATCCTGGCTGATGAAACTTCGCGACGCCCCTGTGTCAATGGTGGCTAGACGCAGGTGTCCGCCGATGTCGACCTCAGCAGCGATCCTCCCTCTCTCTATCCTAAGCGGTGCGGTTACTGCTGACTCCCGGAATTGGGTCCCGACGGACTCCGCCGGTCGAGGGGACCCACCCCGTTTCCCTGTGGTTGCCGTCGGCAGCACTCGACGGTTCGGACGTCTCGACGTCCGCAATCCCAACTGAAGTATTGCCGGGCGTTCCGACAATCGCGGCTGAAGTGTCCCGGCTCCCCGCAGTTGCGGCATGCATCTCGGACATCAATTCGCCGATCAGATGCTGTCACCCGATTAACCCTGGCGGGCTCGGGTGCTCGGGGCTCAGGCTGTGTGTGAGGTGTGTTTCCCTGACTGGGTCTCATCGGAGAAGGAGGGCGGATCTGACGTGGGGGAAGCGGATTGCGGACAGGGGTATTCATGGCGATAGGGTTGCCGTGCTGTCGCTCGCGGCTCCGCTTCTGAACAGCCTCGAACTCGGTGGCTAATTGAGCTAGTTCCCCGATGGTTTGAAACTCGCTACGCCGGATATACATTTGATACTCCGGCGCGACGTTTTCGTAGAGCCGATTCAGCTCTTGGGTTTCATCGTAGCCTGCGTGGCGCATGAGAACGCGAAGGTCTAGCATGAAATCCTTGAAGGTTTCCCCCTCCAACTGCTCGCGACTCCGAATCCGGTCATCTAAGCGTTGGAGGTATCTGGGGGGAAGGAAGAACTCCAGAAATTCTCGTCGGAAGGTGGTCCAGTCGGCCCCTTGGAGGCGACTCGTCTGGAACCACTTGTCGGCTCTGCTCGTCAGCAGTTCCGCCATAGCCCGAGGGAGAAGTCCTAAGTCAATCCCGTAGGACAGAGCTCGGCCTTCGACCTGCTCAATGAATGCTAATGGGTCTGAATACCCATCGAACTGAAGCCCCCATTTCCGGATTCGCTCCGGAACGCAAACGAATTCCCGACATTGCCGGTCGTGGCTCGGCTCAGGGTACATTTCCCGGGGAATAGTCGAAGAAGAAGGGGCGGTGATCGAAAAACTCGGGGCAGGAACAGTGAAGCTCGGGGCCGTCATAGTGGAGTTCTGGGGGGTAGTAGTAAAACTGGGAGTGGAACGCGGCCGTCCCGCGGGAGAGACTCCGGCATTCGATCCTGGATTTTGATTTGCCGACAGGCCACTGGGTCCCGGCCTCTCTTCTCCAGGAGGCCCAGGGCTCGGACCCCGGGTGGTATACCGCCGTTCGAGGTCGGCGAGTCAAGTCCACACCTCCTGTGGTTGCTCGGACTCCTTGATGAGGGCGACAAAATTTCGCCGTAGATCGTCGACGACTCCCTCAGGGGAGAACCCAAACTCTTCGGCGAACGCTTGCAATTCTGTCTTCAGGCGGGAATAAATCCACCGCGTGGAGACCCCAGGATTCTTAATTGTAATTGTAACTTATTTGTACGTGGAACGAACTCACCGGTGTGACGCCTCTATTCTACAGGCGCACAACCTCCTATACAAAATAAGCCCTAGATACTAAGCATATAACTATTCCCCCCATATTATAGCCATAGTTTAAGTTTAGAGAGTAAGTCGGCACTGAAGCCAATACATTATTATTAAAACCTCTTTAGTTGGCATTGGAGCCGTAATCAAGACAACCGTGGAGTATATTTAAATAGGGATAATTAAGCTAACGAATAAGCTAAGTTCAGCACCTCAGAGGTCGCTAAATCGGGCACATTATCGACTAGTCGAACCAGATCCGTTCTCGGTGAACCGGTTCGAACCACCGGTTCACTCAAAAGCTATGACAGCTCGCGTCTTCCGGCATTCGCTCTCTTCCGTCGAAAACTTTGCACCGAGGCAGACGTGCCCATCGCCGCGCCTCCGCGACCGAGTCAAACAATCAAAGTGCATCGAGTCCTTGATAACGACCGCGACGTTCACGACCACACAGTGACATCGGCTACAAGAGCCCACACATTCGCGGAGATAAATTTTGTCAACCAACGACCGCGATCGGCAGCCACACGCCCGCAGACGCGTGGGCTAGATTCGTAAGATACAGGAGTCAATTCTGTAAGGCAGTAGTAGGACCCACACGTAGATAACCCAATAATCAATAAACTAACAATCGAACCTACCTGTAGTAGTATTTCCTTGGTAGTATTGGTCACGGTTTTCAGGTTCCCCGATCTCTGTCCCGCTGGCGGCCCCAAAATACTGCGTTTCGGCATTTCCATTCGCACGTGTTTTACGGCCATCCAGCCTCCCATCGATCCTCTCCCGCGTCCACAGCCGCAGCGTCACGCCAGCGCAGGTCCATTCCGTGCATAACGTGCCGCCCCGACTGGAGGACACCTACTCCTCTGCCCTCGTTCAGTTAGGAATCCTTTCCCGTGCCCACAGCCGCAGCGTCACGCCAGCACAGGCTCATTCCGTGCACAGCGTGCCGCCGCGACTGGAGGACACCTGCTCCTCTGCCCTCGTTCAGTTAGGGAATCCTTTCCCGTGCCCACAGCCGCAGCGTCACGCCAGCACAGGCTCATTCCGTGCACAGCGTCCCGCCGCGACTGGAGGACACCTGCTCCTCCGCCCTCGTTCAGTTAGGAATCCTTTCCCGTGCCCACAGCCGCAGCGTCACGCCAGCACAGGCTCATTCCGTGCACAGCGTGCCGCCGCGACTGGAGGACACCTGCTCCTCTGCCCTCGTTCAGTTAGGAATCCTTTCCCGTGCCCACAGCCGCAGCGTCACGCCAGCACAGGCTCATTCCGTGCACAGCGTGCCGCCGCGACTGGAGGATACCTACTCCTCCGCCCACGCCCAGCGTAGGAATCCTCTATCGCAACTGCAGTCGTAGCGCCACGCCAGCACCGGCTCTTCCGTGCACAGCGCGCCGCCGCGACTGGAGTACACATACTCCTCCGTCCACGCACAGTTTAGGACCCTCTGTCATACCTGCAGCCGCAGCGCCACGCCAGCACAGGCTCCTTCCGTGCTCAACGTGCCGCCGCGACTGGAGGACACGTGCTCCTCTGCCTTCGCCCCACTAGGGACCCCCTTCTTGTGCCCGTAGCCGTCGCGCCACTAACGCTGGTTTCCCGCGTACTGTGTACCGCCACGACTACGAGTGCATCCGCGTCCGTATCCACTCCTAGAGTAGGGACACTCCGACACACGCTGCCGCCACGCCTGCATTGGCCATTCCGCACACCGTGCATCACCACGGTGACTCGAGAATCTCTGCCTGACCGACCCGTGGCCAGCCTCCGTGCCCAGCCGGAGTTGCCTAACACCTCTCTGACGCCCTGGCCATTCCCTCGACCCACGTCGCCCGAATTCTGGGCGAGATCAACCAAATCCCGCCGGGAGTCCACCGGAGTTGCCACTCCGCGCACCGGCGAAAGCAGTACAAACAAGCAGTAGGCGCAAGCAGTGTCTAAAGCAGTTCGCGACGAGCAGCTTTCTGTCAGGGACCGACCGATCAAGCAGATCGACGAGTCGGTAAAAGCAGCGCGGCGACCGGCCATTGACAAGCAGCGCGTGTGCCCCGCCTGCTCCTAGAGCATCTCGTGACCACCTCGTCTGGCAGTCACGTTGCCGACCCTCGGGGATCAGAACTAAGTGCGCGTAAATTCGCAACCCGGGTCCCGCACGCTGTTATAATAAATTCCTATAAATATTTCCGTCCCCTCTAAATAAATTTCTTGAAGAGGATCCCTGGTCACGGCTGAGGTCTATCCCGGCCGGAGAGATTCGTTACACCGGTATGTTTTTGGTCGGGATCCATGGCTTCGGTGGGTTTTTCTGGGTTGTCTTCGAGTACTCTCTGCTCGTTTCTGGATATCGTTGGGCCACTGGGGCTCTTGGTTGGAGTCTATGGTTTTTTTTTTCTTTTTCACTGACACTCGGTCGCGTAACTGTTCGAGTTCGCGAGTAAGCTCGTGGGCTTAGTACTGGACGCGCGTAGTGGTTCGATGCGAATGTGTCCACGGTCGCGGGCACTTTGTATACGTTTCTTTATTTTTTATTTTTTTTTTGTTTTTTTCTCTAGTTTTCAGGTTATGTCACTCGTTCCGGGGTTACACACTCCCCATACAGGTGGAATTTTTCCTGGTATTTTCTCCCTACAGTCCCTGTTCGGGCGCCACTTGTCACGAAGTTCTCTGGCCGGGATAAAATCTCAGTCGGGGCCAAGGAACCTATACAAGAAAATTTATATAGAGGGATGGGACCTGTAGTAGGAATACTATGGGGGTGGCAGAATACCGAGGAACGAGGCACACCGTGCGTAGAAAACGAGAGAAAGAGGTCGCCGGCTGCGTGTCCGGGCGTAGGACCACGTGGTTTACTGCCAAGAGCCACTGTACTGTCTCATCCGTATAGCCGACAGTGGAAAAGGTGGGTCTCCAGCACCACCTGTCGGGCGAACGGATGAGGCTTGGAATGAGGCTTGAGGCTGGCAAAAGTCAGCGAAATTGGCGCTGGCGCCCCCTGGTGGGTGAACGCGGGTAGCGCCGTCTGCCGGTCAGGGCCGATCACACCGTAGAGGTGAGATTCGGTTGGGGTGGGAACGGTGATCGTCCGAAAATTCGGAGAATAGCGCCCTCTGACGGGTGTCACGCCGATCGTGAGTTCACAGCTCACGCCGCTAGGTGGCGTTGTAGGCCGAAAACGCGTTTTGGTCGTGAGGGGGGCTCGGACCAATAGGTGGCGTTGTAGGCCGAGGATATATGTGGGTCGCCGCAGCGGCTCACGGTAGCGGAATCGGGGCTGAGGGGGGAAAGCGGGGGCTACTACTCCGGATGGACTCGGAGTCTACGGAAACACTACTACTCCGGATGTACTCGGAGTCTACGGAAACACTACTACTCCGGATGGACTCGGAGTCTACGTAAAATCTACCACTCCGGATGGACTCGGAGCCTACGTAAAATCTACTACTCCGGATGGACTCGGAGTCTACGTAACCACTACTACTCCGGATGGACTCGGAGTCTACGGAAACACTACTACTCCGGATGGACTCGGAGTCTACGTACAATCTACTACTCCGGATGGACTCGGAGTCTACGTAAAGTCTACTGTAGCTGGGTCATGCAGGGGGGAGAGAAGAGGAGGAAATCTCGGCCGAAGCTTCGTCTTGTGAGTGGGAAACCAGACACAAGCGTCGGTCTCGGTCGAGGTGGAGGAAAAGGGTGAGGAGCAAGGATACCATAAACTACGAAAGAATAATAACGATGTTTCACTTTGGGTTTCTCTTGGTTTATTATACGTATTCGGTTGGCTGTCGGGCTTGCTGCTGCCCTTACAGATAGGGGAAAAAGGGGGGGGGGAAAGTGCTTACGTGACTCCTGGCGACGCGGTTGTTGCGATCTGGCGCGCGGGGAAGGGGGGAAACACGTATGGCAAACTCGCGTGGCCGGCGTATGGTAGAGGTGGCTCGCGTCACAGCACACGATCGAGCGTGGTGGCGGGGCGGCGGAACACGGATTCGCGGATGCGCGAGGGCTAACTCGGTGGTGAGATGTCGCGTGGGTCTCTTCGATCTCGGAGGGTGCGGTGACTGGCGCACGTCTTGTCGCGATGAGCGCTGAGAGCGGAAGAGAATGAGTGAAAAAACTAGTGCTCGCACTTAAGCGATGCGTCGCGCTTATCGATCGGCCGGGTCGCTTATCGAGTGGCTTATCGATCACAGGTAGTGCGATAGTAACTTCAGGAGGGGTCTACGCGGGTTGCGTCTTGGCTAGCGTAGTGTTCAGAGGTTGCCACCTAGTTCGTTTCGGGGGTTCACTTCTCCACTACTAATAATTAATATCTACCGCTTAGTTTA